GACCGTACATCACCATGAAGATGGACTTGGCTTTCGTTGACTGTAAGGAAGCACGATAACCTAGCAGCATATATGACACCACGGATGAACATGCATGACCAATTATTCCTGTGACGATAGTGTTCCACAAACCCACTCTCTTCCTAGTGTCCATCCACATTCACCCTAAGAAATAAGTGAACTCTAGGATATGCTCCCCATCTTCATTCTTATCATAAAAAAGACCATAAAATTACAGGGCCGCCAGTGGACTGGGATTTCGATCATCCAAACAACAGTGTTTATTTGCGTTGATCACCAACGTGAGTTAAAACAAATCCTGAATCCGAGCAAACCAAAATCGTACAAATTCGTACAAGTCCGAGGAGATAATATACCATTCACAACTGCGCATGTCTGAATAATTTTTAAACTTCTGTAAATTGGCGATTGCTGCCTATGATGTAATAATAATCCATATTATCAAACTGACAAACCGGGATTCCCCTGGAGTGATGCAAGTCATTTTGACTGACATCTGGGAGGCTGAATCAAAGTGATTACGTACCAGGTTATTTACGAGAATACTAAACACGCATTTCGTAAATCTGAAGACGGTGACCTGCAAAACTAGAATTCTGGCTGTGATCAGCAAGTGAAGCAACATTATCCACTTCCGCGCCAACTCACCTTTTAAGCACCTTCTTCTTGTCGTCTTCACGTTTATCATCGCCTTTCACGTAGCTATCCCGTGTGACATCCTAAAACGGACGAACATGAATGACCAATTATTCCTTTGACGATAGTGTTCCACAAACCCATTCCCTTCCTAGTATCCATCCACATTCACCCTAAGAAATAAGTGAACTCTAGGATATGCTCCCCATCTTCATTCTTATCATTTATCCGCAATGGTCGCTGTATGCTGAAAACGGAAGAATTCGATTGTTGGTTTGTTTGCCAAGCATGGCATATGGATTTGATCCTCAAGCTTAGGGATAGTAGTTGTGTTGAACATGGACTGCCTGGACTAATCACTACCAAGTAGCCCTCATCTACCTCAGGAGCTAGGGAATACAACATACGTGAGAAATAGCAGCAATATTGAAGTGCGTATTTATCATTAGCACTCAACTGAAACCCAGTTGAAAATGTCATATCTACAATATGGTTTAGCTAAATGTGCTGTGCTGGACACGCTGCTTGTTTCGGTTGGCGCATCACTCGGGATATCACAGGAAAATTATGTACACGAATAAAGGAACACAACGCGGCTGCTAGGAGGCATGACACCCCGTCCTTTATATCTATATACAAGGACAAGAAGGCCACAAGTTCAATCTGGAAAATGCGAAAATTTTGGCATACGGAGACACGCGACACGTAAAGGAACCTCTGGAGGCATGGTACTCTACGACAGGTTCAATCAACCGGTGCATCCCCTATTCGGCACTGTTGGTCATCTTGCACATTTCGTGGTTCTTTTGACAAGAACGCTAGTCCATTTGATAGCCAAAAGCAGAAGGTTGAACTAGGACATGGGCTGTCTGAGACTTTCTATGACCTTATGAATAGTGTTCGCTCAGGTGGTTTATAAATATGTCAGCTGTGGTACTTAAACGAGTACGCATCTTTAACATCATCATCATCATCAGAATGTGCTGCTTGCCTCTGGGTTCTACGTCGTCTGCCTTCATGAAAATACATCAAATAACAGAAAATCTGCTAAGGCAATCGAAGCGACTCAGGAAAACCCATACTTGTCTGAAACTCAAATTAATCATTGATGTGAATAAGAAATACGGAAGAACAATGAGACTTCTCTAGGCTAAGCAACGAAATGCGTTTTGTAAACTACAATTGCTACCATCTAGCGGAAACTTTACGTGATATTTACCTGGGATTATTTGCAATATCGTTGTAGGCAAAAGTAGTTATATTCTCCGCTGGGACAATGTTTTTACGCAAGACTCGATACGCGTGATAAACGACACCCCTGAATGAGAACACAAATGACAAGTGAATGAAGGATAACAGGCAGATTGAAGCCTCGAGGCCAAAGAAGGCAAGCAGAGTGTAAGATAATCCATACTTGGTGGATTATCAGTTATCCCAACATTCTTTGAATGCATTATCCTAAGAGCAGCAAGCATGATTCTATTTGGGAAGTGTCTATGTGGACCACAGTTCCACATTCAGTCAA